TAGAAAGTGATGGAAAATACTTTCATTGAAATAATTTAAATAAATTTTTTACAATAAATGCTTTTTCTCAGTATTTTTTGGGCGGAAACTAAGTTAAGGTCCTAATAGATAGTCCTAACATTCAAAAGACTGAGTAGGAATATTTAGCCAGTCACGAGCTAGTGACTGGCTAGAAAACTTATCTAGTCATTACTATCTAGCTACTAGTCTTGAAATCTGCTCTACTAGATACATTTTTGCTCGGGTTATAACAATTTGTGATTAGTAATTAAAAAATAAATTAATCTAAGTTTATTGAGGTCAACTTTTTTCAGTTTTTGTCTTATACAAGGTTCATATCCAAGTGAATTTTTCTTTTTACATTTTTCTCGATAATATATATTTAAAAATAGAACTTTTACTTAATATTCATGTACATCCTCCATTTATTATTTATTATTCCTAAGTAACAGGCAAAGCTTTGAAACAGCTGCGACAACGTTGTCGCAGCTAAAACCGCAGCGTTTTAGTCCAACACGGCTGTTGTCACAACGTCATTATGACGTTTTGACAACGTTGTAGCAACAAAAGTGAGACATCATTTTCAGGTTTGGAAAACGTTGTCACAGCCATTTGGCTGCACAGCTATTTTGCTGTAAAGAGGTTGTCATAACCTCTTTACAGCAAAATAGTTGTGCAGCGAAATGGCTGCGACAACGTTATGATAACCTTTTTACAACAAAATAGCTGTGCAGCCAAATGACTGCGACAACGTTTTCCAAACCTGAAAATGGTGTCCCACTTTTGCTGCTACAACGTTATCAAACCGTCATAATGATGTTGCGGCAGTAGTTGTGCTGGACTAAAATGCTGCGGTTTTAGCTGCGATAACGTTGTCGAAGCTGTTTTAAAGATTTGTGTGCTACTTGGAAATGAAACGATAGATTACGATAGAAAACAGTTAGATATTCTGCAGATTCTGTCGCTTTATATCGCTTTTCCCTTTACAGTTTTTTATTACAGAAAATTATTATGGTTTCAATTTCAGCTATTTTTGATGTCTTATAAAATGATTTTGTAATTGTAATTGTGAGTGTATAGCGGCTATCAACGCAAAGCTGGGCGTAGTGCAGTGAGACGTAGGAACGGCGATATAAACACGGGCAAAGATGCGCTATCTTTTCTCTCGTAATGATAACTGAATTTCTTCGCAACAGAAACCCTTACGCGCATGCATAAAGTGACGTAACAGCGACATATGCAACTTTCAATGACTGATACAGCATAGAGTTTCTATATGGGGCGAAGTATCCCACCGTTTTATAGTATTGCGCAGTGTCCGTTCTTATAGACAAAAATCGCTATTTGAAATTTATTTAAGATATTGATCATAAATTTTACATACTAAAAGTATATTTTGAAGACAACGTTTTCTTTAGTCACTAGCCAAATTTGGATTAATTAAGATAGTGAGGGGGAAGGAGATATATTAATTGTGAAAAAGTGATATACTATTTACATTTATTATTAATATCAATAAATATTAATATAATATAATATTATTAATATAATATTATTAGTAATTATTAATAATTATAATATTATTATATATAATATTATATGGTTACTATTTTACACCATTTAAAATGAAAATTATAATAAAATACATTTATATCATATAATTTATATTATATAAAATAAAAACTATACAAATAAATAGAACAAGAAAACCAGAAAACCATTTATAAGACATAGTTAACAAAACAATGTATGTTTGATGATAAAATTACATTTTAGTCTCAAAAATGTTTTATCCATCAAATTATGCAATATTCAACTGGAGTTGCTAGTATCTGTGCCAGGCATTTGTATTCTGGGTGTAGTTTTTCACTTTTAAATTACTTACACTTGCGTTGAAAGCCTTTTTCTATTTTTATTATGAATATAACAAAATGATACTGGAATTTTTTAATTACTTCAATTCTACGTTCTCAAAAGCGTTAGCACGATTGTTCTGAGAAACTCTGTATACACACATACCAGGTGTAGAAGTATGAAACCGGAATTTTTTTATACAAATAAGACGTCTGTTGTTCGAAAGTGATAAATAATACTTTATTCAAAATAATTTCCACTGTTTTGAACACATTTTTCCCACCTCTCTGGCAGTTTATGAATGCCGTGCCAAAAAAACTTTTCATCTTTTGAAGCGAACCAGTTATCTAGCCATTTTTCCACATTTTCATACGAATCGAAGCGTTGGTTAGCGAGAGCGTGTCCTAGCGATGCGAACAGGTGATAATCGGACGGAGCCAAGTCTGGAGAATAAGCCGCATGCGGTAGTAATTCCCAACTGAACGACTCGATCGTTTCCTTGACCCGTTTTGCTGTATGTGATGGGGCATTATCATGGAGCAAAATGACATTGTGTTGCCTTTTTGCATATTCTGGTCGTTTTTTAGTCAATGTTCGATTTAAATCGATCATTTGTTGTTGGTAGCGATTAGTATTGACGGTTTGACCAGGTTTCAGCAGTTCATAGTTCATAGTTCATAGTTCATAGTTCTTCGTTCCTCACGTCAAAATCACCACTTTTGAATTTTTTAAACCACTCGAAACACTGAGATTTACCAAGAGCATATTCACCGTAAGCTTCGACAAGCATTCGATGTGATTCTGCAGCAGTTTTCTTTAAATGATAACAGAAAATCAATGCTGTCCGCAAATCATAGTTAGTAGGCTCGAAACGTGACATGTTTAAGGTTATACAAAAATATACTAGAGAATGAAAGTTGGGGTTATGTTTGTTGACAATATTCGTCAGCTGTTAGGAGAATATAATAGCGCGGCAGTAGCGGTCTTACGGTCACTAAACTGAACGCTGGTACCATTTATAGGGGAATTCCGGTTTCATACTTCTACACCTGGTATATTATTCTCTTGTCTAAGTTATATTGCAAGTTGGTGATTCTTCCATTCTCATTTTAGTTCGCATACTGTGTCAAGAATAAACTTCATTTTTTTATATTAACGTTTCGCGCTACATATGTTAACCTAACTAGTCAGTTACATATAAAGCAACTATTTAATCTTTAAATTTTTGTTGCAGCGATGGTCTGTAATTTTATATATAATAATATAAATTAATGATTTTAATTTTTAATTTATTTATATTTATCGTAATAATAAATATACGGCATATTATAAATGATCGGTATATCACAATTCAAATATGTTTATGATGTGATTTATCATTGTGTTAGATGCCCAATGAACAATTTTTTATACATAATTATATAAAATTATATAAAATTATATATAATTATATATTATTATGTATCAAATTTGTCCATTCATGTTCATACATTCTACTTGTATATATAATCATGTATAATTATATATATATATAAATTCATATATAATTTTACATAATTACGCATAGATTTATATGTAATTATACATATTGTTATACGTAATTGTGTATAATTATATATAATTTTATATAATTATATATAATTATACACAATTACGTATAACAATATGTATAATTACATATAAATCTATGCGTAATTATGTAAAATTATATATGAATTTATATATATATAATTATACATGATTATATATACAAGTAGAATGTATGAACATGAATGGACAAATTTGATATATAATAATATATAATTATATATAATTTTATATAATTATATATAATTATACATAATTATGTATGGACAAGTTTCATACATAATTATGCATGAAAAATTTTTCATCGAGTGGAGTTGCTGAAATTCAAAAAATCTATCTTCCTTTAAAAAAGACAAATTTTTATCTTTGTCGTAGAACTAATTTAAATAATTATTTTCCTGGTAACTAGTTGTAACACTTTGGAAAGTCTTGTGGTACATGTTGCAAATAGGTTAGTTCTTAAAAATAAAAAATGAAGTTCATTCTTAATTTTTATACACTTTATACTCTTTAAATTTTTGTTGCGTCGATGGTTTGTAATTTTGTACATAATAATATAAATTAATTATTTTAATTTGTTATTTATTTATATTTATTTATATTTATCGCAATGATAAATATACGGCATATTATAAATGATCGATATATTATAATTCAAATATGTTTATGATGTAATTTATCATTGTGGTAGATTGAGTTGCTAAAGAAAACATTTCTTTAAAGAAATATCTCTTTAAAGAAGACAAATTTTTATCTTTACTTTACTATTATTAATTTTGATTTGACTATATATATTATATACAAAACATGCAAATTAAGTTAAAAGTAACAATAAATGTTTCCTACACTAATTATATTAATAAGAAAATCCATTTCCTCTGTTAGTATATTATGATAATGTTATATTGTCACATCCTCTTTTCAATTCTGACTTTCAAAGAATTGACGGGCGCTAACACAGTACTTAGCTTCAGTTCTATTTCTTCTATTTTAACCCTTTTATCGACCTTTAATTTGTATGTCCGCAAAAATGTTGCTGTGAAGACTTTCATAGATATCATTGCATACTTTATACCTGTAATTTTATCGATTATTTTCATATTTTGCTATAGTATAGTTGAGCTAAAGTATTTATACCTAAACAGTTCCTTGCACCGTAACTAAACGGTAAATAACTATTTGGATGAATATTTGCCATGTTCTGCGGAAGAAATCTGTCTGGATCGAATGTCATCGCTTTCGGCCAATACTTTTCATTGCGATGCATGTCTAATATTGTTATATAAACTTCAGCGCCTTCCGGTAAAGTATATTCTCCTGAAACATATTAATCTGTATTTAAAATATCATTATAATAAAATATAAAATGATTTAAATAAAATCATATCAAGCGCCACGGTCGCGGAGCGATGCCGAATACGTATCGAACAAAATAACGCGACCGTGCAAGCTTATCTGGAATTTCTAGATCAGTTGGTCTTCCGGGACAAATATTTCAAGCATGAAAATCGAAAATCTGATGAAAGTTTTCTTATATAATGTTTAACGCGAAATTTGCACTAAGTTTGATTAAGATTGGTACAGGCACTACGGAGATCTGTAAATCTCGTCCGCTAAAAAGTACTTTTATTTTCGCGCAGATTCTCAGATTTTTCAGATTCAGATTCACACGTACGCACGCACAGAAGCGAATGAGTATGCCCATCAAGCCGCGTTTGCATCGCCAAACGATTCAGTTTCAAATCACACGTATACGCACGCGCATAAGCGGCGCACGTTGTTCGTAAGATTGCGTTTATAATATATATAGGTTGCAACAAGCAGCATATATCTATAATGATTGCCATTGATTCACGAATTTACGTTAGAGAAAAAATTTATGATCAACCATTAGGTGTACATATCAAGCTATATTTACAATTTCACGTACATTTTCTTATAATTTTATATCAATCTGCGCTTGTGGCGTCCGCGATCCGCATTGCAAACGTGTAATGTGACTTTGAAATTAATTGGTGAGACAGAAAAGACTTTCGTAGATGAAATATTATAAAAATTTCCGTATAGACTGCATCAGTCAGAATGGACGCATATTACGTGCGTAATAAACATTAAATTGATCATATATCTTTTCGCCTAGCGTAAACTCGCAAATAATATAAAACAATTTCAATAAAATTCAATAAAATTCAGTGATTACTACTGCGTTCCGATATTCACTGCCAGTATTCAAGATCTATAGTTTGTGTCGTGTATACGTATAGAGTTTCAATAGTGGTAGTGAATATTGGAACACAGTCTGCGTGTTCACATTAGACTCTTACTTCTTTTTTGATTATAATTAATTTAAAACATCTACACTTTGATTAAGTTAACATATACTTTTCGTTTTGTAGTTTTTGTTTTGATTTGGTTATTTAGGGCAATAAAATATTCATAACAAACGGAACACTATTGTACAACTCATTGTACTCATTGTACTCATTCTACTGTTCATTGTACAATTCTTACATATTGCTCCACTACATAATACGTTTATAAGCAAACCTATTTGTAAATCTGCATTAAGTTGCCGTCCTATTATAGCCGCAACGGGGAAAAGTCTCAATGTTTCCTTAATAACACACTCCATATATTTCATATGCTGCAAATCTTCGAACTTGACGGGCGCGGATTTTGGATCTTGCGTACCATAAATTTCCAGCAACTCTTCATATACTTTTTGCTATTACAAAATTATGTATTTATTTATTTCATATATAGAATATTGAAGCATAAATTATTGTCCCAAATTATTTCTGTATCATTCCATAAAAAAATATAAAAACATAAACTCTAGATTAAGAGGCTATATATTAAAAGTATGATAAATGTACTTTAGTTAACTTTTTAGTAAACTTTAGACTATTTCTATATCAAAAAAATCAATTTATGTTTAAAGTTATGCAATATATGTAAAATACATACTTGTACTTCTTGGAAATTTGCTAATATGAACATCAGAAAATTTAACATATTTGTGACTGTGTCGAAACCCTGCGTAAATGAAAACTTAGTTTATCAATTTTATAATTATATTAATATATTACGGTCATTAAGTATTCGTCTCAAAAGGTGCCTCATAATACGTACGGTAACAATTATCGTATTGATTTCATCTATAATATCTTTTCGAGTTAATTTCTTGCCGTTGTCAGATGCTTCCATTAGTATATCAAGATATACCCTTCTTGCTATTTTTATTTGAACAAAAAATAAACAAAACATTTTCTAAAAAATAAATTCCATTGGCCAGATTTGGATGTATTGCACGTGAATTTACTTGTTTATATTTTTAATAATAAAAATTTTTACATATTTACGAGTATATGTACATCCAATGGATGCAGTTATGTTGGTCTAAATAACGTGTTGTAAATTAAAAAAGGGAGAAAATATTCCCTTGTATGTCCAATTATTTTAAAATATAACATATAGTTTATTTTCGTGCAATTTTCACACACACACACACACATTATAACATTAACTGCATAAATATATCATATAACTGCAAAAATATATAGAAGAAGTGTTAACAACTTACAAGGCTTAGTGGATTGGTTTTTATTTCCAACTAAATTATCTCTCGCATTTTCCCTTTGTTGTATTACCTGCACAGTAATAAATCATGTAACGTGCAAATCGTGTAACATCATCAGAAAATGTATTTGCAATATCTACCTCTTCCGCAGTAGAATATATAACATTTAAAAGCTTCTGTTGTTCGCGGCTTAGAGATGTAAAATTAAATATAATATCAGGAAATAAAAGAATATTTCGCATTCTGTACGTGAATATTTCTGTCAATCTACAATTAAGCATTGCATTAAATTAGATCTATCCTTAAGTATAGCGCACAATAATTACAAAAATTTAGGATCTGAAGAGAATCATACCTCGCCATTGCATTATCATACGGCATATTTTCCTTTAATTGTAATCCCAAATCGAAATTCAACGTAATATCTTCAAGATTACGAAGAAGTCAAGTTTATTATTTTTAATATATTTTATAATTAAAATATAATAAAAAATATATATTATTTATTATTTTAATTAACAGTTTATACATTTGTAATTAAGAGTTTATAACACAAATAGGTAATTTCCTAACAAGTCAAAATCGAATAAGCATTGCATCTTACCGAAAATCATGTCCAGCGAACACTTTGCTATATGATGTAATAAATCTACTTCGTCATTTAACATATATTCTATTTTCCCTATAAATACTGAAACATGTTTCACAAATATATCGCAGGATGCTCGTAATATATTTGTATTAAAGCTTGACGCTAGCATTTTTCGACGTTGAACCCATATATGTGCTGCGGAAAGATTAATGTTAAAATGAAATGAAAAAAAGAATAAACGCACTTCTTTACCAAATGCAATATTGTAAATTTGTTAATTAATTTTCTAAATATTACCTGTCAGAATAACATATTATATAAGAAACATTGTTACATTTGTATTGTTGGTATAACGCAACATAATCTGAAAGAAATCTTCTAATCTTTGTTAGATTCATATTGCACGCACAATGCTTTGTGTTAATTACGCATTTGTTTAACTTTAGAATTGCATCAGTATTGTAGGTGCACAAATAGATTATTAACTCATTTAAATTTTTAAAAAATTTGTTAATTTGTTCATTTGTGTGTGTATGTGTGTGGGTTGAGTGTATGTTTGTGTTTAATTTCAGTGTATTCGGATAGATTTTATTATGTGTGCTTAGATTGGTCCATATATGCATACACTTGAAATAATAAATAAAAAAGTAAAAGTAAGTTTTCTGGCAAATATTAATTCGAATATACATACGTAGAAATTGCAAGACATTACTACGATGAATACTAAGTTAAACAAATTATTAAGTATACAAATAAGTTCATCTTTTTAGCATGATTTTGATGTTTTTTACAAAAAACGAAAAACATGTTAAATTTCGAAATAGTTTCATTATTTTTCATACATTTTAGCCATCTTACTAATACTGGTGAATCCTGTATTAAAGGTGGTGGTTTTGATTCAATACAGTTAATGATACTTTTTTATGATAATGATACCCTTTTCATCCCCAGTTACAATTTTGTAAAGAAAGTCCTTTTATTTGAATAGTGGCAGCAGAGATATGGCCGTGTCACAGCTTTGACTTTGTTTTCAGGGCTGAGGACATAACGAACAGCCTGCCCTCTACATTCTCTGAAGCTTCTTTAAGCGAAAGGAAATAGCTTGTTGAGTTACATCTAATTTTTTAGCAAGTTCTTGCTACGTCTGGTAAGGATTTTTCAATAGCTGCTCCAATTCGTCGTCCTCAATTTTTTCGACATTCCTTTTGCGTTCTGCATCAGTAAGATCAAAATTGTCAGTTCGAAACTTCTGAAATCATTTTTTAAACGTTTTGTTCACAGTATTTTCACATAAAGCAGAACAAAGCGTTTCGGCAGCCTCAGCAGTATTTTTCTTTCATTGAAGCGCGAAAAGAATGCAGCGCAAGTATGCTCCTTCTGAGAAGCCAAGGTCCAAACTACTATTTTTTAAAGTTATGGTGCAAGCACAATCAAATTATGTGATGTATTTAGAAGGTTCAGGTCAACACTTCAAAACCCCAAATCGGCGAGAAAAAATATTAATTTAAAACAGAATTACAATCAATCGAATGTAAAGGCACCGAACTTATTTGTATACCTAATAATAAAGTTAGTGCTGTTGCTAAATGTGAGTGTAACATTTTAAATATTTTCCTGTGTTATTACTGATACAATATATAAAATGTACCCGACCGATATGGCGTAAAAATGCGATCATTATGTATCTTTTTCATATCATAAATACATGTGTTACAAACAAGTCTTTTTTTGTGAGATCTTACCAGGAGCAGTAAGAAGCCCATTTCCTACGAGCGCTTTAGTCGGTTCATACATTATGCTTTTATTTATGCAGTTAGGACTTTGAAGAATAGTCTGTAATATGTAAAACTTATTCAATAATACGTTTGTCTCGTTATTACTTTTATAATATTCATTGCTTCCTTAATTAACGTATAATTAAAAAATGTTGAAAGTTTGTTGTAAAAAATGATGATAATTTGTGACTGAACTTTAAAAACTATCCACGCCCGATTTTGATAAAATTTGGTGTAAATTCCAAATGATGTCAAACGAAAGTTTCTAAATGATTTTTCAACGATAAAAAGCTTTAATGTCAATAAAGTTTATATAAAGTTATATATCGGCTGTTCGGCTATACTACGGTTAGGAGAAGTACCCCTTCGAGTAGGCTAAAAGGAGGGTGTCGGAAACCGCGATTTTTTTACTATAAGTGGAACTTAAAATTCGGGTTCTGTATGGCCTAGTACATCTTAAATAGTACCAAAAAATGGTTATACATCCTGGGAGCTCGAGAAACATTAATTGTAGTCAAACATACAAATTATACGTTTAAACATATCTTGAACCCATAATCTCTACATCCATAAACTCTAAACTCATGAACTCTTAACCTATAAACTCTAAAACCATATACCCTAAATTCTTACACTATAATTTATAAAGTGCAAACCCATAAATCCTAAACTTCTAAACCTAAAAATTGAGAAACCTTTATCACTTGTAATCCAAAAGCATCAACTTTAAAATTTTTCCATTTACCTTGATTTTACAGATCTAGAGTTATAAACTTGTAAATCTTACCTTCGGACCTAAACTCTGAACCGTACTTATCCAAACCCAGAGACACAAACGTTTGACACGTTAGCAGAATAAAAGAGTTTTTGGTTACGCGTCGAATTATGTTTCAGGCATTAGATAAATAATTCTCCATCGTTCTCATCACCAGAGTGTATGTCTGAATCAATCAAGTCATATCAGAACATATTCGGTAAAATAATTATTTAAGTATTGGATATGTGCATTAATTTTAAGGAATTTTTTGTAAAAATACGGCTTTATTATAAAATAATGATCACAAATTGATCGTTCAAAATATTGTCCATCACTAGCCACTACTTTTTCCCATCTTTCTGGTAATAGGTGAATTCCACGTCGAAAGAACGACACATATTTTGAGGCTATCTACGAATCGACCCATTTTTTGGTATCCTCATAAGAATGGAAGCGATGCTCAGTCAGGCCATGAGTTATTCATCGAAATAGGTGGTAATCGGAAAGATCGGAAAGAAATCTGGAGAATACGGCGGGTGTGGTAGGACATCCCAGTTAAGCGCTTCTAACGTTTCCTTGACCAGTTTCGCAACATGTGGCCGAGCGTTGTCGTGCTGGAAAATCACTTTGTC